GGGGCTGGGCGAGGAAGAGGGAGCGGGCTAACCCCTCGGGTCTGCTTCCCCCCCAGGCCAGTTCTGCACCCCGCAGCTCGGTGCCCAGGACGCGGCGTGGCGGGAAGACCAGCTGTCCTCCCAGCTCTACAGAAACAAGCAGGTAAAGGCTCCGCGCCCCCCCCCAGCAACCTCGGTTTCTGCCCCCGAGGTTGCTGAACTTTGTATCACATATCACGCTTTTCTGGGTTGGTTTATGGCATGTCTCCCTCTCGCTGGCACGGATGTGGGAAACGGTGGCAAACCAATTTATTTGGGTGGTTTTTGTTCCTTGCTTGAACTATTTGTGTCCCCCACGTTGTCTCCTGAAGCTGGAACAGCTGTTGTGGGGTTCCCTATTCATCTCTCCCCTCTTACAGCGTATTGCACCAGCTGCCTCGGTGCTAGAGAAGACCAGGGGCATGACCAGGGAGTCCCTCAGGCTCTGACGATGCAGAGCCTCATGCTGTTGACCAAAAATACACAGTGTGTGTCCTTCTGAGTCCACCAGGATTAACTTCATGAGAAATGATTCCACCAGAATTACCTACTTATATGGAGGATCAACCATGTTGACCAACAAGCATTTCCTTGTTACTTTATTTTCTCTCTTCTTTCCTTTTTTGTAAATCCCATCAAGGGACGGGAGAAACTCTGAATAGTCCTAGATGAAGGAAGCCCAGACAGATCACTCTGATCAAATACTTGGAATGATATTTGGACACAGTGAAGTCGATGGAAATTCATTTACTACCTTCAGCGTTCCTGGAATCAAACCCTAGTTCCAGACACCAGTGTACTTCTTTCTTTGGCTCTACCTCAATCATTTAAATCCGTGCTTTTCAGCCTGTGGTCAGCAGATGCCTGGGGTCCTTGGCAGAAGATCCTTTGTCCTCCTAAAGGAGTCTCCAGAGCTACGATCAGAAGGCAAAAATCTCTCTGCAAATACATAGATTTCCCATGAAAAAGTGTTAGGCATCTGCAAATCAAAACATACCTGTTCAGCTCTTGGGACCAGGGATTATCTCAGCTCTGTATACGTACTGGGACTGGCACGGTAGGGTCCAGAGTTGAAGGGATCACTGAGTACTACTGTATCATAAAGAATGGCAGCTGCATCTTCCTTCTGCACTCTACACCTGTAAATTGTTAGTCTGCAGCTCCTCCTTCTCCTTTTCCCCACCAGCCAACTATAAACAGGAATGAGAGGGATGCAAGAGGATGCTTACTGCCGGCTCAGGAGGAGATCTGGCAGCTGCTGTCATGCCCATGACGGTTTCTGGCTGTTCACAGGGCTACCTGTAATTCTTTTCTGTTACTATTCTGCGGTTACTTTTTTTTTCAGAGTAATCTTCTCAAACACTTGCTAAAGAATAAAGGCAGTCAAAAGTGAAAACTGAACAGTCATGCCACTTAGATTTACAGAGACAAGAGGCTGGAGGGGGTGGGTTGAGTTCACAAAGCAAACACCCAGATCATCAAATCCAAGCAGCTTGTACCATAGGGCAATTGCTATTAAGTTACAGAGTCAACATCTATTCATCAATATCTCTATTCCACAGCTTCAAGATACTTTGCTTCAGAAGGAAGAGGAACTTGCTAGGTTACATGAAGAAAATAATAACCTCCGACAATACCTGAATTCTGCCCTGATTAAGTGTTTAGAAGAAAAAGCCAAGGTATTGTGTTCAAACCTGTTGTGTAGACGTGTGCAGAAGAAATGGGTTGAATAGGTACATGCCATTAAAATATGTGGAAAGTCTAAGAGGGTAGACAGCCTGCAGTGTGAGATCTATTTTAACTTCACAGAGCTGCCAGATTGCTGGTCATGGGTCTAAGGTGATGGTTTCCCCCAGGAATGACATCCTATCAGGTTCTGACTGTGGAGACAGTATAGCCCATGGCATAATTAAGTTTAGCTTATAAGTTAGCTATAAGTAAGTTAAGTTTATAAGCAGGGTAAAATTATTCCATCTAAAGCTTTTTTCAGTGAAGAGTTCAAATTTGAACATGTGTTTCTTGAATGTGTCTGTTTTGTCAGTTATCCCTTTTGATAAGGTTTAATTTTTCCTTTTTTTATGTTTTGGGTGCTTTCTGTTTTAATTTTTGTTTTGTCATCTTCCAATGGCACGTTGTTTTCATTTACGTTAGAATACTGATCTAATGTTTTTCAAATTTATCAGTTAAAAAGTTATTTTTTTTTTTAAAGGTGAAATACAAAATTAAACACTTCAGGTTGGATGAAATAGTCTGTTAATTAAAAAAAACCCTTCACATTTAGTTTGAATATTTTGATTCCCTCTCTTCCAAAATAAAGATAATTGTTTCTTGTTGACTTAAAGACATTTTTTACTATTCCAGACTTGCCCATGAAACCAAACTATTAATTATTTGCTCAGCTCTGTGGATTGGGCATGAGGTAAAAAGGCCTGTAAAAAATAGCAGACTTTCCTTTTACGTCCTATTCCGAGTCAACAGTGTGGCATGTCCCCGCTCCTATGCCAAGACCTGGCCCCTGGCAGTAGAAAAGGTCTCCTTCAATGGGCACAGCAGGGAGACATGGCCACCCATCTATGTCACACGGAGGAGAGTCCGGTGTGAAACTGCCATGAGCGGTGGCTGAGCAGTGAATTCGTGTTCTGGTGGGAAGCTTCCTTGTTATTCCTGCCTTTCTTTGACCATCCCTGGATGCCTGAAGGGCCCCTGTCCTGGGATAATGGCAACGGAGGTGGATTAATAAGCTCAAAGCCACTCAGCCTGCTGCTCCGAGCCCTCCCTGGCCAGGATCACACCTGCCCCAATATGACTTACCTTCGCATCCTCCCTCTTTGTCAGCCTGCCACATTCCCCTCCATACCCCACTCACCTGCCAAATGCTGCTGGCAGCATCAGCACAGAGGAGTGCCGTACAGCCAGGCGGGAGCTCTCATTTCACGCCATACCAAGTGACAATGCAATCAAAGCACAGGCTTTATTAAGCCTTCTCTTTCAGGGACTGGGTTGTTGCAGAAACTGTAAAGACACAAAATAGTTAAGCGTGTCCATATGTTTAAGCACAGGGTGGAAGAAAAAGTATCTTTTATAAGGACAGTAGTAACCATCTTGCCCATCTAAAATCTGAGATAAGAAACATGCTGCTTCCAGGTAACTAGAAATACAGATTTTAATCTTCTCTCTCCACCTCATTTTTTTTTTCTAGAAACTGCTATCCTGCCATGGCCAAAAAAACTGTGCTATTCTCAAAAGCACCAAGAGGAGATTAAAAGAGGACCACTGCTTTGTTCCTCAAGAAACTCCTCATGCTTCCAAAGCTAGAAGGAACCTCTTTAATGAATTCACTGCCTGTGAAGAACAAGCCAGCCCTGCTGTGGACAGCTGGGTCTTGCAGACTTTAGGATTAAAAGATGTCAATACTATTGATGAAACTTCAGCTAACTACAGTGCCCTGTCTTCAGACCTTGGAAAAGAGACATACTGCCTGAGCCCTGGTGAAGCAATAGAGTATGAGCACAGTGAAGGAGCAGCAGCAGTGTACAGCTGCAGTCATGTGCCTCCAGCTAACAGCAATACCCATCCATGCAGCGAGGACTCTCCCTTCCTTCCTCAGTTTTCTTCAGCACCATGTGTCTCCTCATCAGTGCCAAGCGTTTCCTCCCTCCCAGCCTATGGGTTGCCTTACTTGACTGGCAATTTGTCACCCAACAAAACAGAAGTGGCCTTCTCGACATCTCTAAGTCCTCACCGCAATGTGAGAACGCACACCTTCCACCAAGGACAAGCCTTCGTGCGCAGGGATGATGACGGAGGATGGAGATTCACCTGGGTGCCCAAGCAGGCTGAATAATGCACCTGCATCGAGGGTCAAGCCACAGGGGATGTAGGAGACAGACACTTCATCTGCTGCTTGAGACAGGTTCAGGCATCTAAAATGAGCCCTTCTGGGCTCTGCTAAATGCTACGCTGTCACCTACCCACTCCTCCTTTTCTCCCAGATTTTCACAGGTGTGGCTCCAGATTGCACTTGGACAATTATCTGCCCCAGGCCAGATGTACAAATTGGATCCACCTCTCTTGTGCCCATGTTGAGATACCTACTTTTACTTGCTTCATGGTTTTTCTACTGTCAGCTATTCCTTGTTAACTGGTAGTTTCGAGGCTGGAGTGCTTTCAGCTTTGATGATCACTCCCACGTGCACCAAACTGGAAAGCATTTTGGGAATACAGTTTGGAAATAGCACCTCTCTCACAGATATCCACAGATGACAGAGGAGGCATAGGTTGGAGGCTGAGGATCAGCAGTTTCTAAGTGATTTGTGTCTCTCCTGGCTACACAGGTTGCCTTGGATTAAGGCAACCATGGATATTTGTTAATGTGCTACACTAGGCTGACCTACCTGCAGTCACATGGTGCTGTCATATTCTTTGATGATGCCTCAAAATAAACAGGATTTGTTTCTATTGCCCAGAGGCTACTTAATTACAAGTGATTTAGCAAGTTCAGGGGATTTTAAGAGACTAATGTGTTTACTACACTGCGTTTTAAAGGTATTTTATCTGTCAGATGAAATTAGTTTTAAAAGTTTGAGCCCTGGAACAGGAACTAGAATTGGAGATGCTGTAATGACACTGCCATCACCAGCCAAGGCTCTGGCCCAATATATTAGCGGCAGAAATTTTCTCACTTGTGGGTAACGCACACTCAGAGCACTTCTTTCTTCTGCAAAGGATGCCTTCCCCTTGCCTGCAGCATCCCACTAGTCTTTTGATGGATTTTCTTCTGTGTTTACCCGCCTGATGTTGGAAGCCCTTATAAAAGGGAGCCGCTCCTGGCTTCGTAAGCAATTTCGTGGCTTCAGTGGGGCTTTTTTGCAACACCGAGAGCTGCACTTGTGAAACTGGAGATTTTCTTTCTAGGGAACAACTTCTTGACCTCTTTCTCCTGATCTCTGAGAGCACACAGAGATTCAATCAACATCAGCCCAGAGTCAGGGCTGCTTCCTCCTCCTCCCGTAACCCCATGCTTCCTATGGGAAATGTTTCTTCTGGTTTGGGGAGGCAGTATCACTTAGTGACTAGAGTGAGTCTTTGGGAACCACAGCCTTCAACACCATCTCTTGCCTCTCCGTGTCTCTGCCAGGCAGCGGTGGGCTGAAGCTATGATCATCACTACCTTGAGAATGCTTTAAAAATCTCTGGAGAGAAGGTGCTCTAGCACTGCACAGGACTTTTAGTAACACTACTAATGATATGAAGTCAACTGACATGAAGTAAGCTTACCAGTAATTTTTTGTGTTACTTTTGTTTTCTGCTTTACAGTACTTTGATGCCTAAGTATTGGAAATAGAGTGATTTCGTTATTCTTGCTTTCAGAATGGTCCCAGTGACTTTAAGGAAGTACTTACATAAGTAAAAATAACCATATGTGAGGATTTCTGTCTAGTGGCTTATTTTCCTATAGAAAACTAGATATTCTTTTATTTTTAGAGGATAAATATATCCCCTAAATAGCCTCCTGTGCCTTAGAATTGCAGTATTTGGGATTCTCCATCAGGAGCAGTAGTGATTTCCCGGAAGACTTTTAAATAAACAAACTCTGTATTTCTGGATAGTTACTTTAAAGACATAGGGCAGACTTCCAGAATAGGCAATTTGAAAGCATTTATTGTAGGCATTATTGCACTGGATTTAAAAAACAACAAAACAACAACAAAAAAACCCCAAAACAAACAATGCACATGGAATAAATACAAATATTTGTTTGGGGGTTTTGTTGTAGTCAGTAAAAATGTGGCCAGCTGATGAAGACAAGACCACTGTTTCTATAGCACTTTTCTGCTTTTCAATGAAAAGCAGAAGAAAAATCCTGTCCTACAAACAACTCATTTCTTTCTCAAGGCATTTCTTTTCCATTAATCTCCTCTTGCCCTATGATATAAGGTGGCACTGAAGAAAATACGCCTGTCACTGGAGTTTTTATTGATGCGTGTGGTAGCATAGAAAATGCCTGACCTTAACATGAATATGTGATGGGAGACCCTGGTATGTGTGGTGTGGGGGGACGAACAGCATGCTGGGAATAGGCCGTGTGGCCAGAGGATTGCACCCAAAGCAGCTGCAGATGCCACATCTTTCAAAGCAGCTGTAAAACATAAGTAGAGAAAGAGCTATGTTTTCTAACGCTACTGAATGCCGCTACTTATGTATTTCAATGCTATCGAGTCAGCAGCAGTAATAAGTACATTTGTCCTGTCAGCAAATATTAAATCAGTATTTTTCTCTAAAGAGAGAGGAAAAGCTTTCCACCTGTTTGACATTTCCTTTCCACGCTTTTATATCACTGCATGCGAGAACTTCTCCTGCAGAGAGCCAGAACAAAAGCGTCAGATCTTTGGTAGAATCTCAAAGTAGGGTTTCAGTAGGAACGAACTGATGCTTGAACCTTTGCCAGCCTTTTGTAAGGGGGTGACTGGCCCCTTGTCTCATAGCAAATAAATTATAGATGTAAGTGAATAGCTCAATGAATAATTTACCTGAATGAATCCCTTTCGTTTCCTGTGGGTTCCTGAATTTTACTCAGCATGAAGGTGCTGAGTCCTGTGGCAGGGATTTCTCTCTGAGCCTGGCTTACTGGGGGTAGAGGACCCCATGGTGCTGCTCCTGTCAGCTGATGGGTGCTCCTGACCTGCACATGCAAACTTAAAACTCTGGTTTAGACAACTGCTTGAGCAAAGGTGTCTGTGTTAATAATGCTGCTGATCACTGTAGTGGAGGGAGCACACTGGAAAGGAAACAGAAAAATCTCCAAAGCATTTTAGCAAATAACTAAGCGTGATTTATTTTTCCCTGACAGCATCATTTGAACTAGTATTTCCTGAGTTGTTATGAAGAACAATAGAAACAAGCTACTCTGTGTCTAACACCAACCCACAGCAAGCAAGTCAGCCCCAAGGCGAGGACTGAGACTCTCCTGCTTTTCTGTTTCCCTATAATACACCCGCTGAGTTCAGTGGTGCAATTCTCATTGAGGACAAGTCCCAGTGACCGAACCATTCCTTTAGATAAACATTGTTCCTGTTACCAAAAGAAAGCCTTTACTCAGTGTACCTCACTCTAAACTGCCTGGTTCCTCTGAAAATTCATGCATGTATAATAGACATGGAAAACGAGCAAGAGATTGAAGACATCTTATGGCAGATTACTGTCAAATGGTGGGATATGGAGGATGGTTACTGCCTGGGCCGGTGCTGGTTTGGCCAGCTGCGTCCACATGACTTCCTTGGGCCTGAAAACAGTAAAGCTGCATTAATGTGATGCCGCTTCCAGCTTATTTGTTTTTACCTCTCGGTAGGGCTCGTGACCTTGGGTGCAGGCTGGAGCTGGAGCAGCAACACAGCTACTAACATGATACTAGTGAGGCTGAATCTAGCTCTTCAGTGTGTAGGCACACAGTACAGATGCACTCTAGATTGAACTTGTAAAAATCAGCCACAGAAATGGAGCCTAACGCACCATCTTTTTCTTCATGAGATAAAATTCTGGAAATGCTTATTTTCTTTTAATTACCATCCAGTTTGCATCACAGTTCTTTGGCCTGCAAAGACATAGGAGAGAAAGTCTTGCCTGTACAAAGCCTAAACCAGGTTTTGAGATGAGGTTTCAGTCCTGGTTTGTGCCTGATGCTGCCTGTTTGCCCTTTTGTATCCATTCCCAGTGGGTGAAACAGAGCCAAGCCACCCTGCTACTCATGGAAAGTGCGAGGTAAAGCCCAGAGAAGCCTGTGGCACACACCTGTGCCACAGAGGAAGCTAGAGATCAATAGGAATGAAAGCAAAAAGTGGAAACAAAACCCAGTTCTTCACCCAGCCATCACAACTAGGTAACCAGGAGACAGCAGAGATGAAGAGTTTCAGCTTGGTACTGTATTTGTAACTTCAAAAACAAATCAGGCAGCTGGAATAGAGGAGCAGGAGGCAGAAGTTCTGGGTTCTGATATTGCTTCTGGTATCACACTTTGTTTCTGTGCTTCAGTTTCCACGGAATCCACCACTGGACCAGTTCATAGCAATTTAACAAGAAAACATGATTCTTGCTGCTGCAAACTGTGTGAGAAGTTCCCTCTTGCCAAGGAGCAGTACCAGGCACATATACCTCCGGGATGGGGAAGTATGACTTGAATGGCCCAGGGGCCCTGGGCGGTTCTTTGGGCAGTGGTGAACTTCATTGTCTGTAAATATCCATTTTGTATTAACATATTTGTTTTATTTTTTTATTTGAAATTTGTTTGCTTTATTATATGAATGTAACGTGCAGCTGCACACTTTAAAACAATCCATGTTTTTAGAAAGGTATGCTACTAGAAATGGAAGTTAATTTAACACTTAATATGTTGATGTTCATGATTTTTGTGATTGAAAAAGGCCATGATTATATGTAAATGTCAATTTTACCAGTGTCATTAAGTTATGTCTAATAAAACTTAACATCTAATTGATGCAATTCTGTCTGCCCACTTCAGCTGTTGCTCACACTGCACAGCACCACACCTGGCACCTACCCACCTCTCCAGAGGACTGAAAGGGATCTTTATTTCCTGCAAGCACAAGTGTCCACACAAGGAGGTGCAATTTTTGATTGGAATATAACAGAGGTAGAGATGTAACAGCCACAGGCATGCTCATTTCAGTCTGGGCTTGCACAGCATATTGCAGCGATCCATTATTTTTTTGACTCAGATTCCAAGCTACAAGTATTGTGCTTTTCTTCTGTTATTTTTGCAGCATCAGGCTCTCTCACTTAGTAGACTTACACCTTCTTTCTTAGGCAGCCGAGCATCCTGATGTAGGG